CTACCTAGTATTTAAGTACGGGTCCGCATGAATGATATGGCTCTAAACATTGCTCACTCATTCATGGAACAATACTTTTGTTGAGAAAGTCAGTGCATCCAAAAATGTGGAACCATCACTGCCATTTATAGGAGTTCAAAGTATTAGTTGGTACGACATTGACTGATGCGCCAAGCGAGAACGAGTTGCGTCCTCGAAGCATGCATACATCTGGAGCACATCCGAAGAAGCACTGGTCCACATCATTCCTTTTCCTGACCTGTGATCTAGCACAGGTGGTAAGTGGTAAGCAGCCATTTGGGCTGCAACTGTAAGCACGTTAACAACAGTCGTCACGCAGGGGTTGAGAGCTACCAAGTGACCACTTGCAATCATTCAATAAGTTGGTATTACATTTCCAAATCCTGGCAGTCAGGTACACCTAGACGCATCTACCGATGGATAAGTTTCACCGTCCTTACGTCCTGTCACCACTTGTTTCTTCAACTGTTACGCGCATTTGCACACACCGGGACGGGCATTAGTGTCATGCTCAGGAGAAAAGTTAACTTTCCGGAGCGCATGGAAGTCTACAAATTGCATCGCAATCGTTGGACATGGAATGCCAACAGCAAACAGTGCTATCACTCTCACAGTGGCTGAAAGGAGCATGCCTTGTGAACCCGATAACAGGCGTTGTTATCATTATTTTATTACTAGTATTATTAATTTGGTAGTAGTAGTAGTGGTAGTAGTAGTAGTAGTAGTAGGAGTAGAAACAGCACCACCAAAAGATATTTTGTCAGGATCACACGCATACGATTCCTTCGTCTTTACTTATTTCTTGTGATGTCGTCTACGGCGTTGCCTATATTAGTTACCAACTACTTCCTCCCGTGGTATCCAGCAATTACTTTCCACTAAATCGGGCTAGCTCGTTCAACGACGTGGTCTGGAGACTGCCATTATCACGGCACTTCGAATGAAAGCGCCCCAGCTACCGTGGTCGCATCAATGGCACTTAGTTGGTGCCGTTGAAAGCGGGTTCGTTTGTCGCATTAAATAGATGTTGGGGGGGGGGGACAATGTTGGCTACCGCTTCCCATTTGGTGGCATGTCACTCTTGGTCATACCGACGGTCAAGCAGACGAGTGGGACAGCTGACTTGCTAGCACCGCTCAGGGTGGTCGCGTGCAGAACCAGACTAATTCCGAACTGTCCACACGCTGAGCCAACAGAAGCTATTAGTAGCATACGATTGGATAACCAATCCTCATGCACTAGGCACTGCCCCCGAGCAATAGCGCCTCTGTAAGCGCACATGTCCCTACACATGCACAAAAGAAGGCGCGTGTGGGTGGTCCACTGCATGAACAGTACTTTGCAGTCCGCGATACAAGACAATACGAAGGTCTGTACCCAGTTGTTAGACTCATAAACAATATATGATCTATGACTGACCTCTCATGTCTGGAATAAGCAGTCCGAAACTTCATATTATCATTCAATATGTGGTTAAATCGGCCTTTCCTGACTCGCCTGCCAAACGATTGCTGGCAGTGGATAGATGGCCGAAATCGGTACTGGACGGACATATATGTGGGACGTAGATGCTGGCAAACTGTCTTTCGATGAAGGATGAGGAGAAGAAGAACGGTTAGCTGCGTATAATATGCCATGCTAACTTGCAATGTCGGTTGGAATAGCAGCATATTGGAGATTCTTAGGTCCATACTGGTGAATCGATAACTAAAAAATATCCAGGTGATTCTGCGGACAATTGTGAACAGCCGAGTCCCAGCATGATAAATCATTGCTTACATCAGGCCACTGATTTCCACAACCAAAAGCAGTTTAGCTTTGACATTGCATGTGACTTCAAAGAGGATCACCATGTAATGCTTCAACCCATGGAATGGAGAAGTTAACAACTATGTTGTCCCTGAAATATCAGAATTCCCAGAGGCTGACGTGTTTCGACACACTTTATGTGGTGTATTCATGACAATTGGAGGCGCATTGTGTAGCCCTTAAACGTACGTAGCTTAATCTCACAACTGACACACCATAATTCAGAAAATGGGCTGTGAGGAACTTAGAACACTTCCTATTTCATCATCGCCACAATAGCTGAGCTGGCAAATACAACAATAACAGCAACCGAAAGTACATTTCACTCAAACAACTGTCAGAATTAAAGCAAACCTAGAGTGTATCTCTAGAATCATCGATCTATCGCTGGATATCCGTTGCAGATGCTGTGAATCTGACCTATGGGTATGAGTATGATCCAATCAGCGATTCGTCTCAAAGCTTGCAGAAAGTATGTACACATGACCAAAGTGATCATTTGTTCACACCGATTCATCATAAAGTTTACACGGTAATCTACGGTAGTAAAACGCAATAATTAACAGATCAACTGTGATTGCACATATCAGTTTCAGGTCGGGGTCAGGCTGTGCGTATTGCCAAAGCAAAGTTAACTGGGAATTTACAAACGTCATGAGTATTGTTTTATTGATCCGACTAACCGAAAAGTGAACGTTTACAACACCTGCCACATATATTTCCACTACTGGTTGGTACCCCACTCGCACGCATGTAAATTGAGTGCGGAGTACGTAAACGCCACAGGGCACTTCAGCGTTGCCGGTGTAAAACCCATCAATAAATTGTGGCTCCAAATTCCTCCAAAGCGCGTGTGGTATTCTTGTCTCCCCTTTCACATGGTTGGTGCGGTTGACGTACATGTTGAATAGTGTTGTTACGTGTGCTGCAATGCCGGCCACCGACCAAGCAACATCGCAACCTAGTGCCACTAATTGCTCTATAATTCATATCTGTCCGCTTGTCAGTGGATTTACAAATTTACGTACCATCGATAAAACAAGCACTGGGAATTCTCTCAGCGACTGTTAATACTGTACGCCATAAATCATATGGTAGTCACCACTACTTTGTAACTACGCGTCATCCGTAATGCCGAACAGTTGACGACAATTTTCATGGTGTGAGATTACTTTCGCGAAAATTGCGTCATTTATAAAGACGGATAAAGCATTTACTGGTAATAGTGAAGCTGTCGCAGCATAACAGAGGCATGATGAAGCTTTTACCGATTCACTTTCTATGGACCTTCAAAGATTGACCATTTCTCTCGGACTCTCAGCTTTGCTGAAGAAAAGTGCCTCTAGTTGGTGTGTAGTGAATTGGTGATATATTACGTGCGAGGCTCTTGAATACGGATGGTAGTCTTCAGTGAGGCCAAAATGTTGGCTTCCATGTGGAGAGAATGAAAGGTAGATTTCTAGGGGTTCACAAACTGAGGACGCTTTCGGTATCGCGCGCTCTCTACATTAATTTCGTTATCATTTTAACCCAGCTTCTACTAGCAAAATAGATAAACGGGCATGGGATGGAGGCTTGAACGTAGCAGTTGACGGTTGACGAATTGATCACATGGGTATTGGGCTGCGCCAGCAGAGCCTGGCCCAACGACTGCAAGCTTATTAGCGGTTTCATATTGTTTGACGCGACTTGCGATTAGGGCACGCCATTTCAAGGTGAATCAATATTCACCATTCTTTAACCTCAGTCCTCCGATCTGTGGAAATGAACCCAACGGTAGAAGTTTCAACCTCGCCTCACAGAATTGCTTAACAGCAATTTCAGCTTGGAAGGAGTCATGTAGTCATCAGCTGGCGGAGACGATAGCTTCATGGTGAACGCTTCTCAGTTTTGTCATTCTGTGTTTCAAAACGTCAGCAGTTTGATTTGTGATGAATTCGCATCAGGAATGAGTTGAATCATGCCCACCTGTCTCCCAAATGATGCAAAACAGTGAAGCTAACTCATAGTATGTCGAAGACATTTATAAGTTTATAGGTCGCTTATCTCTGAGGTCACAATCACGAATCACCTAAGCGCAAATATTTGCCAAGAGTGAACCGTAGATGATGATGAGCGGCATCTGATAGAGGCGATGAAAGTAAAAGGGAGGAGTGTGCGCTCAAACCGAGTTGCATAGTAGATGTCAGTGAATCATATTTGAATTCCCCCACCTGCGCTGTTTATCGAAACAAGTACCCGCGAATAAAATGATCAAAAATGTATTCGTAATGCAAGCATTCCTTAGAAACTAGCTGGAAATATGGGTTGTATTTACAAATAGAACAGAAAATGTCACGGCCTGGTTTCAACTGGATCTACAGAAATATCATTCATATTATGCTCAAACCATGGGCTAGTTAGCGGGATCCAACTGTAGACACCTTGACGGCATGTGATATGCATCCGCGACATTTCGCATGTATTCGTGTGGCAAAATATAGGTTCCACTGTTAATATGATGATCCAACTCGGTATACCTGCAGCTCCGCCATTACCAGCCTTCTCAACACCAGGAGTGCCCCACGGCGCATTTTCATCTCATTTGAATAGTAACAAACAGTGGCTAATGTGCGGTTGGTCATGGGCCCTGTTTGCATGGATCCACCCTCATCCATTTCCTCGTGTTGTGGTATCTGTGTTTGCGAGGTCGTGACAGGATAGTTCGTCTGGTCAGGGTGCATACTGGATTGACATACCGCAGTGCACACGCACAAGGGGCCACATAAAAGACCTGATATGTCAAGTCATCAGAATACACAGTTTGATTGGGATCTGACATGGAACAAGGAACCCAGTTAACTTGTAGACTACTGCGATTGTACAAAACGGTTGACCAGTTTATCATTCGTCTGCAGTATTTGTGCTATTAGTGCCAGCCGGCTGGACCTGCTTTTCAATGAACTGTGGTTATACCTTACATGTATATGGGGATGCTGCCATTTTGACAGATCAAACGTATGTAGGCCGACCTTCAGACGACGGGGTGGTGTAGGAGAAGCGCCGTAAATAGTACACTTACGCCTAAACTGGCTACGGTGGTGGTGAACTTGGACAATAAAAGGCGGTGGCTTAAGACACTTCATCACAATAAAACAGCCATCCACCTGTTTCGGCACCGTAGCTTCTTGATGATCAATTCACGCAATCCTATCTCACAGGGTTCCCGCGTTAACCATGTCGTCTGTGAGTACAGAAAGTCATATTCATACCTCCCTACTGACTGTGATTTTACCCGTATATGAACGATTCTGGGTATCTGGTTGAGTTTCATAGACACATTGCTCCTCTCATTGTGGTGTGTTCTAGAAAGTGGCCTTAATTTGTTTAGGTTAGTGGTGGACTCGTTAGCAGTGTAATGTTTACGGTCTCAATGGTTAACTTACAAGCAAATGAAATTGGTTGTAACTCTCAAATTGTGGGGCTAATAACCGTAACATTGAGAAATCCACCCCTAACAACATGTTGCGCTGAGGTACCTTTTGATGTTCGTTGTGGTTAGGTTACTCCACTCTACCTGCTTTTCAAATTTTCGGCTTTATACAGATACCCCTCTCACCGCATGCAGCGAAGTGAGCCACGGCGATGCGAACAGTAGCAGTCTTGGCTTGAGTAACTCAGTCTCTAGATTCATTGAACCAGAGCCCAACAGCGGTGATAACGATGTAGGGCCCCTGAGATTCGAAAACTGCTCGGCACACACACCGGGAACTATACAAACCGGTCTACTTGACGGGAGTCACATTGGAAGCGGCTGCTTCAGCAGTGGAACTAGCCTGGTAGGAGGATGCGGGGAGGATTTAATACACAACACCACAGCATCCAACAGTCGAAACTTCAGAACCAACAAATTTGGTGGCTCCAAGCGGTCAAAGGACCAAAAAACCGCAAGGGTGAGTGGGAGAAACCTGTGCGTTAGGCAATATAACCCTGGTTAAAAACATGCTAACCTTGGCCCTGGTGTTTTGCTACAGATAAGAACGGTACTCAACGAGAAGCAACTACATGCACTGCGCACATGCTACGCAGCAAACCCCAGGCCCGATGCTTTGATGAAGGAACAGCTAGTTGAGATGACCAGTCTCAGCGCCAGAGTGATTCGCGTGTGGTTCCAAAACAAACGATGCAAAGATAAGAAACGTCAAATTTTGCTCAAACAGATTGAACAGCACCAGCAAGTGAGCAACCCGTTTAACAAATTTGGCTCTCTGCCTTCTAACTTCACTGTGCCTCTCGAACTTCACTGAGAATCCCAGCTTTATTAACACTTAGAACCTAGCTACCTAATTGTACTGAGTAACGAAACTACCTAATAGTTTTGCAACTAATCAAGTTCACTCTGTTAAATACCACGTATTTGTGGGTTTTAGTCGCTGTCCGGATAACGTCCTAGTTGTGATTCTCGAGACGCGCATGTTGCCCATCAATTTCCATTTGGCAGTGCGACTTTTGTGAAGTCAAGGTTGTGGGGAGTCCAAAAGATTCAGCAAACCACTGTTTTGTATATAACGGGGTGCTATCTGGACGTAATAGTACTTCTATCGGGAAACTCATGAGAAGCAGCTGCCAAGTAAATTGTACGTTCTGATCAGAAACAACTAGGCTGGAACCACTTGCATATAAAAATTAGGACCCATTGCAGCCCAACCGGAGCTAAGCGCGGTTGCGCGCTTGTACCTTTCCTCGTTCTATGCGTCATGGTTGTAAGACACTGTCGACAAGCAATTTCTAGCTGCTTCGGCTACCGTCCCGTTGATCGCATTGTCCATGGTTCACTTCAATGTGAATCGCGGTCTACATTGAGATTGGGCTCAGAATCCATTCACACAACGTGCACTTCATAATGACTCTCCAATCGATCCTTAACCGTTATGACAAGCTTTGCTCTTCGTCAACCGGTTTCAGATTCGAAGCCTGCCATCCCCACCTGATGAAATCAAATCGCCTCGAAACGCGTCGTGGTTTTTAGTGTTTCCGGGCGGGCAACACCTAATTTCCACCAGGTGTTGGAACATTTTTATGGAAGACAATGCTACGCAACGAATCATCGTAGACTTCATTGCGCAATACTGTCACATATTGTATCCCCAGAAACTGCCATACTAGTTCGATCGACAAAGAACATCTACTACCGTTTACCGATTACACCTCGCTCTACGTAGAACATCCACTTGCAACTCAGTGGCCAGAGTAATCATGCGATACAGTGATGTGCTGTTGCGACAAAAAAGGAGTGGCAACACAGCTCCCATGCACCTGGCTGCACAAGTATGGAGGCCAGGACGCAGGGGAGTGAAGGGAGACTGCCACACAGTGTATCTTGCTAACACTTCGTGCAACATGCTGAAGCCAAATTAATTTCTGTCTGTACCGCCTTTGCGGTCAACTGTTTTCACCGTAATGGCATCGTAACTACTGCCTGCCATGTTGTGCTTCAGTGTGTGAACCACATGGTCTCGTCGCTTGAAATGCAGGGACTAGTGTGTGGACATTCAAGTTACTTTACTGAAGCGCAATCCAAATGTTCGCACACTTTATTCCGAGGACTCAGCTTTTCTGCCCCTTGTTTATTTATTCACATTTCGATTGTTTCCGTATCTCCAACACAGAACCGCATAAACATGCCTAAATCTGTGAGGTGAGTACGTACAACTGTGTGTGGGCGTGGGATTCTTGGCAGCTGTGTTGAAATAAGCCGGTGAGAGACATTTTCCAGACCAGAGGAAAGGTAACACAAAATTCCGCATCACTCTACATGTATGAGGGGAATATGCTTGGGTCACTTGGTTGGCTTTCGTTGCGGACGTAATTCCCAGTTTCACATTATTCCCCTTGCTACGGTCTGCTACTTTAATGCATCAACACATCAAGGCTCCTAGTGGAAGTCTGAAAGAATTAGAGATGTGTCAACCCAGCTAGAGGCAGTTTCATAACTGACACATTTGTCGTAGATAACAAACACAGTAGGAAGGACATAATCACAGGGCGTTTATTTTGTATTGCATGCCATATGGATCCGATCTGATTGGGGAGAAGCAGGTGTTCAGATGTTCTATATACATCTGATGAAACGGAAACAGTAGCCCAAATTGAAATCCCTATAGAAGAATTAGTATAAGATTAAGCATGTGTTCAGTGACGGAGCAACCAGTAACGCTAATCCTAGCTCGCCACCTTTCTAGGTCAAACTCCTCTTGACCACACGTTGAAGTCGGTCGTTGGAAGCGCTGTTTGGTCAGAGAATTTCCTTAGTCCTCTCTACCCCAGCCTGTCCCTCTGGTGGATCGGCTATTAGTTAGATTAATAAGACGGAAATTGGGATCCGGTTGACACCATCGTCTACCGTTAGTACCCTAGAATATTGCTCAACACACGCACACACACACAGACAAATTCCCACCCCTGGCTATTCGAGGCGTGTTTGGATTGTGGGGCAAATTCACAAGATACGGCCATCGCTCTTCTATTTACGCACATCTTCATATCCCTGTGAAACATAATATTTTGATCGCCAGATGTTCGAAACGTTTTATGTGGTTCATCCAAGTTGTGTTATATCAGTAATTCGGATGAGCAGTAGAAACCATATATACGTTAAGTTGGGTGTTCATTTTACACTTTCTTGCTTGAGGGTTGTAGGCCTTGATGTGTCAGCACCATGCGAATCTGGAAGTACGAACGTCTGGTCATTAGCTGAGAAGACAACTCACCAGGGAACGGCAGACGCGATGCTTCTCGTTAATAATACTGCTACTAAGATCAGTGTTCATAAGTTTAATTATCCTACGCATGGGAAATTACGTCCACAGATAGTGTAATGCGTTCAGGCTCGTACATGTGTACCCCACACTACGGTCGCATATTGCTGCATATACCTGTTCCGGGCACAAAACGAGGTCCGACGAACAGCTGTTGAATGAAAGCATGCAATCTAGACGCTCCAATCTGGCAGTTTGAGCGCTTCATTTGCTTTTGATCATTCGACACATCAGTGTGACTACAGGTTCATGCGGGTTTGCTAAGTTGCTGAAAACCTGCAGCACGTGTTGTTTAGTCGGAGGTTCTGTTATGGGTAAATTTCTCACTGACTTGTAATATTCAGTTTCTTATAAACACAGGTTTTTCGTTGATGAGTGGCTTCAGCATGATGTAAGAAGTTCCATATTTTTGTAATTTAACGAATTGTTTTGTTACTGGAACCGTTTGGAGGATGGCCCTTTAATTTGGGGGCGCTTTGACGAGAAACGTTTCCATTTAATCAACGGATTTGCATTGGTCCATCTTGATCACAGTGTTGGCCACTAACCCTCATGTATCATTACATCTAACGATCAACTTGCCTTCTGATAGAACTCAGTTTTGTGATCAAAACGGAAAAGATGAAATTCAGTGTGGCACTGTGCTACTTGATGTTGCGTATTACAGCCAAAAGTCACACTGCAAAATCAGAGCAATCGGTTGGCATGTGGTATATGAGTGTTTGTCCACAGTTTCACGCGTCTCTCCCGGGCACGCATAGCACGGTTGGCATACAGCTCAAATTGCAACTTGATCGCCGGTTCCAATCTCGACCTAGCTACCTCGAAACGAATAGGTAAAATACAAAGCAAACTTGTCATGGGACGGAATAATGTATTCAAACGAAGGGAAGCAGTGTGATTGGTTACACTCTGTAGAGACGGATTAATCAGTTTTTCCCATGTGCTAACTAACCATGAAGGTTCGTACGAAATTTAATCTGAAACAGGACCAATTTGAAACTTCCATCAGATGATTTCGCTGATTCCAAGACCCATGCGAGTGGCCAGAAGGGCGTAGATTATTAGAGTAATAGACATACCAAATTTGGGAGAAAAACTTATCTCCACGCACGCATTTTCGCAGGACCACGCGGTAATCCATAGCTATGAATGATTTTTACACGTATCTCTACACCTACAAATACATACACGGTCAAGCTTACCTGTAGGTGCAGGTTGTGGGAGTTTCCATTGCCCACGTGTACACGTGAATCTGGAGAACATTGTTGGCACCAACATGACAATAGTTCTTTTGTGTCGTCCGCGTACTTTCGTGACAAACTGGCAGGAGCGCAGATGGTATCTTACTGACGCCCAGAATAACTGCGAATGGGCACAATTGAAAACTTTAAGTGCTGGGTTACTATTGGAGATGCCTCATTAATTGGTGCATAATCCTCCACCACTAGCCCATTGCATATGTAACCCATAAAATAGAAAGGAAAAAAAATTTCATTTATCAGAATTACTGCTTTCCTCTTTAGCTAACTCCACTGAAAGCGCTGTATGGACACAATAGTTCACAGTTAGATCTAGTCGCATTTTTCTTTTCCCACAGAATGGAGGTTGTCCTACGGCATTTCACGGGATATTCACGGTCGCTGGAGGTGCAGTTTGTAACGACTGCAGTATGATGGGCTCAACGTCTGGCATCGACATTCATCAGCTTCCCGGTCCATTTCGTATGCATCCAACCGTAAACGACCTCAGTCAGAGGGCTGTATCACCTTGCTCCGCGTTGAGCTCAGGGAAACCCTGCAACCCTCTGCTAGACTGCAAGCTGACTAAAAATGCATCACGTGCCATATACTCGCTAACTGAACCAACAGATGACGCATCGACGTCATATGTGCTTAGAATGGCGAGTAATTTCATCACACCATTCAACATCCCCGACAAAAACGCGACACCTAGCTGTCCATTAACCATACTTCTTCCTGGGTCAGCATCATCCAACATGAACGCTGAGAGCTCGCGATTCAGTTTGGTTGGAAAACAATCGGAAATGTCAAAGTTTTCTGGCTCGTTTACGGACGGTGCTTCGGCATTCCAACAACTGGTAAGTTCCCTCGTTTCGTGATGACCGGGTGATATGGGTCTGCAGCAGTGACCATAAATAACCCAATCGCTTCTAGGTGCACTAGGGGGCTGGGGTCGGATGCACCAGAAATGTGATAGGAATCAACAGTGGTTGGGAAACGATGAGCAATCTATCAACACACTCCACAGCCACGAATTGGCGTGCTCGAGCTAGAGGAACACAGGTTATTGCTGCTACCGTTAGAGTGCAGGATCAACGCGTAATGACGCCACCGAGTATTTGTGGGTGCTTGGTTCGTGCTAATAAACACTCGGCAATTGTTCGTGTAAATGCCAGCAGAGTGCTCATTCGACGTGTATAAAAGGTGGTGAGCGGTCAATAAACTGCTTTAGGATGAATAGATATCTCAAGCTAGCACCGTCATTAATAGGACAAGGAAATAACTAAATGTTTTTGCTGGACAAGCGAAGGCACGTCAAGCGAACAAGGTATATTCATTCATGATAAATGATTACCGGATACCACAATTCGAGTCCACGGTATCGACTGATCCTGTTTCATGCCTAGCTTAGAATATGGCACTACAAAATGTAGCGGAGTTAAATATTGTGTCTTGTCAGTCGTATCACCTGGCTGGCAATGCTCCCGTTGTCGGGTTCATGGACAATTTGGTGCCTGTTCTGTGGCTCTGCCGATCTTTGGTTGTACTGCGAGGAACCGATAATTATAGCCAATTACAGACCTTGCAAATCGAGTGACGCGTGAAACCGTGTGACCACATTTCATATGATCAACGCTTATAAAAGTTAACTAGGGTCTGAACGCGTAAAGCACTGATCAAAAACACATGAATATAACTGAATAAACCGGATGGCAAACGCAGTGGAAATAGTAAAATCACAGGAATTACAAGTCCACTGACATTCTTCTAGTGAAAGTAAACCAATTTGAGGTGCAGTTCTAATTGCTCGACCAAATAGTCTGATAATATGGACATATCCAGACACCGAGCTGCAAAATTGAACTGACTACTGCAGCTAGCTTGTGTATATGAAAAGAAATATAATATCATAAAACCCGATGTAGCATTTCACTGCCCAAAACAGAAAGAAAGTTGTCGTAGATTTGCACAAACTTTGGTTCCATAAGAGTGTATGTCCAGTCAGATGAAGCCTATGTAAAATCACTGTTAAATATAAGATGGAAGCACAGCAAGGGGACCATCGAACGTTGTTCCAAAGTCAGGTGGAAGTGAGGGTTGTCACAAATTATCAAAGCATCACCCTCCGTACAATATTAAACAAAACATGTTAGATGGGAGGTATAAACTGCAAAGGCAGGATTATCAGAAGAAAATGATAACCCGTATTTTGCGATAACCAAAGCAAACAAATCTCTTATGATTATCATCTGAGTCTAAGGACAACCGTGAGCAAATCATTACGGACGGCACCAAGCATCGTGTCACTGAAAACCACTTCATATCCGGCCCCGCAAAACCGCCATATGCCTTTGAAACCGTGGAGGATGTTACCACTGAAGGAAAAGACACTAGGTTAAACGCAATTCTGTGTAGATAAACCCCGTAATTTGGCCGGCTTTGCTCAAGCCGCAGATGGGGAACATTGGTCATATACCACGTCTCCATGAACGACAGGGAAGGGATACGAGGAGCAATAATGCTTGGAGTTTCTAAGAAAAATTCGTTGCCTCAAAGATTTCGGTCCAAGATGGTAAAGCCGTAAAGTGGAAACAAGGATGTGCAAGTTTCCAAGTCACATGAGATGTAGGAAACCGGCAATTTAGAACATTAGACAGCGATGTCTGAGTAAAAGCCTACTTATGCATTTCGAAAGCAGAGTGATGTACACTCACTACTCCGAATTGGTCTTTCAACGTGTGTTGAGTGGGCGGAAACAGCGCGGCTCGGCAGTGGAGTTAGCAGTAGTAGGTTGCGGGCGGTTTCCGAAGGTCTGACGGGGTCGTGCTTGGTACCCAGAGGTCTCCTCGCATGATCCGTGGCTAGCACTTGACCGTTACTGATCGCGTGGCAGCAAATCATTAGTGAGAAGCACCGGCGCAAGCCAGACTTCTTTCTATGTTCAGCAATGAAACCCGCCGAAATTGAAGCTTTAATAGCATACGAATTACTCCAACCGAGTACGGCACTCAGTTGTTGAGATTTTGGTTGTTTGGAACACATCAAAGCAAACGCGTAGTTGCGTATTGTTGAAGTCGGTTGGAATTTGATGATGTGGTTTCGAAAGAAAATAAATTGGCTTGTGGAAGCGACTAAGATTATTAGAGACTGTACACGCTTCGGTGCGATCATGACTGAAGGCTGCACCGAGCTCAAGTGTCTCATGCCCATCGATTGGGAAATGTACTTATTCATCATTTAGAGTGGATGTTTCCAAGATAGGTGTCAGTGCGTGTGTGGGGATTAGGTGTACCCAATGAGAAGAGTTTACTCTCCGCTATACTATAATGTTTGGTATAATTTCGCGGGTTTATGTACACGCAGTACTCTCCTCGCCTACGCCACACCGCTGTGGCAAAATATGCCGACCCCTATTAATTACGTTAATGTTTTTGAGCCAAAAGCGAACGGACCTCATCCCCCAATGTGGGAAGGCAACCGGGCTACACACACACACACAGGTAGACACCAACCGACAAACTACACAGTGCGAAATGTGATTGATGGCAACGGTGGAATTGATGAGAAGGAGCGCACCGCTGTGGACAGTGACGAGTGGTTACACAGGCACACAAGCACTGCGGCGACACCAGGATGTGTTGGTGTGCGATGATGTGTGTGAGTGGTGTCACGAAAGGTCAGATGAGCTTGAGTCCATTAGTCGCTGTGTATTCAGGCAGCATCGATGACATTTAGACTATCCCACTATGTGCATACCTGCGTGCTTCTGTGTTTACCGAGTTAAGTATACACATGACGCAACCGATATTAAACCGCCATAAAATATCATCAATCTGGTTCGATTTCCCTGCCCACATTATATGCCTCACATGTTGTCGCAGAATACATCCACGCACTTCTGCACACTTTGTTCGGGTGATCGCATAAAGCAAATCAAAGCTTGTTCAAAGTATTCAACTTGGAGTTAATCGCGTCTCTTCACTTTTGCCTAGGTCCCCTGCTTTGATGCAACTGAGGGTGTGCTCACATCTACTCCGGATCAAAGTATTGCACAGGCTTCTAAGCGACTGGCTAACAGACAGCTCTCCAGCGGATTCCATGGTGTCTTGTATGCGGCTGGAGTTAGTACACAAATGCCACCAAATATTTTCATCCCCCACGCTTAGAAGAGGAAAAGATTACACTATGCATCCCGTCCAGTGAACCTACTATATCAGCAAATATCGCAATCGCCCCAAATTGATCTGTCTGCTTTCAGCGCAACAAGTGCCCACTCGCAACCGATAGCTTTGATGGTGTCCCCCAGTTCACCCACAGCGCCAGCAAACCTGTTGCCACCATCATCCACACGGCAAACATCAAATTTCAGCGTTAGTACCTACTTACGTCGGCAGGTCCCACAGCAGCAGTCCAGAACTTTTCCATCAAGATAAATTTCGACAGAGGAAGAAAATCAAACCGCCGTTCTTGCGGCCAAAGAAACCGAATTGTGATATTTTTGAAGGTGAGCGGAAGCAAACAATCGAAATGCCTTGTTCTTCCATCATGTCATCTTTTCTTACACGGTGCTTTCTTTGTTACGCAATTTTCAATTCTTTGTTTGCAAGTGCCTTGTCCCAAGGAATTCAAGCATTCTTGCTCAGATTGCAGTTACACATACCGCGGGTAAACACTTTCGGTTTTCTTCGAACTAATGGCCACTAATTCGTCAACTCTTCCTTAAAGAGACTCACGTGCAAGCGGGAGAGTTGCTGGCGTTCATTTCATCTTCCAGCGAACAGTGACCTCGATCCAAACCTTGGCTACGTCGACTTCCCCGGGTGATCTTCTAAGCGTGATCCCTTGATATATTGTGTTTCAGATGTCATCTGGCCGATTTCCTCTGGCACAACAGTTAGTTGAGTTTATCGTTCTCATAGATGGTGAACTATGAAAGAAAAAGAACTTACGGCTATTCACATGGTTGAGCGTTCAAACACAACTATTCAAAGTTAGCACTCGTAAATTACGCAGCATGCAGTCCTTAGCACATTTCTGGTCTCACTTAGGAGAAATCTGCAAAAGTGCTTTAGTGGAGGATACATGCAAGTCAGTATGGGGTCAATCGTGTTCTGTGTCGAGCTTCACCGGTTTGTTTGGTTGTAAAAGGAAGTGAACTCAAAAATCAGCATTGCTGATGGGACATAAGTGGTGCGAGATGATTTATTAGTTAATTCTCCTCTCGAAGGAGTAGCCTCATTTGACCACAAAATATCGTAACTGAATCCATGTAGGTATTCACTGTCGAAACCGATACCCACTATTAGCTGAAGTTCACGTTTAGTCGAAACTGGATGGAAAGCTTAAGCGAGTAGTTCGCAACTGGGGGTCAGTTGAATCAAGCGATGTTCATCCGTTCACTGATGCATGCTCATTGATGTACTGATTTTCTTACTTTCATAGCTTTCGTATACATGTTGAAACGGGCAGTGTTTGATCATACTATCTATCCAGTACCGAAATCAACACAGACCATCAGGTCAATGTAGGACATTGCTACAGCAGTTCCCGACAGTTCTCGACAAATATTGTTTCAAACATATATTGTACAAACTGCTTTGTTTGATATACCCAAGCCTTGCAGTTTTTCTACAGATAGTCTCCTTTTCACAACAGTAGTAATTGCGGCCTTCATTCGGTGACAACTTCGGAATTACACTTACCTCTATCAAGCGAACGAGTCCCGAAAACCTACACAACTGTTACGTCCGCCGCTTCCTAAGTGAATCGTCTCGCTTTGATCACTTTTGTCACGTACAGTGGCCCGTTCCCAACGCAGTCCAGTTAGTGGGTCGCACCGAAGCGAAAAGAAAACATCTGAATCCAGAAAGAATGCTAATCATATTTCCGCGATTCATGGTAACATGATAACATCGGGGTTACGTTCGCTTCTGTAAAGGGGGCAAGTCTCAGAAATCCACGCAACTGTGATATCAGCAGCTTCCTGATTAAGTCAGCGCACTTTAATCAATTGTTACTTAACGTGACGCGATTGCGGCACAGTCCAGTTAGCAGGTAGTGACGAAGCGAAATGCAAAAACCTGCATCCGGAACGAATAACGTTACTTACGAGTGTGGCGCATATATTTCCGTGATGCATTCGTTGTCCAACTTCCACCTGAGTTGTTACAATTTAAACATGAGTGGTGCTACGAGTTAAGGAGTCAGTGGCAGCCACAGCGAGCCAACTTCCTAGCGAAGCGCTTGCCCGCTCATGTTTTGTACATGCACGATTTGCAAATCAGTAGCGGACAAATTTGTTAAGAATTTCAACCGGAAATTTACCACTAAGGGGAACCAGCTGAACTACCTAACAACCTCTAACAGAACAACATAAACGAACTTGCTTAATGACGAGAACACTGCTCTACAGTTGTTAAGATACAAGTGGTCTGTGCAACGTGCTTGCTGTGGATAATAACAATGAGTGTGTCAATTCCCCACAATTAATTTCCTTGATAGTATTGTGATGATGATGGGGTAGTATATAACTGAGTGTCATTTTCCTTTCGCACAGAAACCTCAGACGGATAGGCCGTATGCTTAGCCAACCTTCTGTCCATTTGTATTTTGCGGGAAATCAATGAGAACAAAGACGCTGAGCTCAGCAGGCTTCACGGAAAGCACATTTCCTGTTTTCGTTGTAACTGGGGCACAAAGATGATAAGCATTTCCCGTTGCTTCTTCAAAAAGTTAGTCTAATGCGAAGTATGCTGTGAAGTGTTAACTGTCCGTCAGCGACGCAGATTTTGGATGGAAATGCGGAGCTAAAAGGTCTATGGATTCGGAATAACCGCAACGTATATAATCCATATCAATTTGAGGTGAAAGAGAACTATCATGTCATGACACACTATGAGCCGGACCATCATATAATGACTTCCAAGAGTCGACTGAAAGTTTCCAGTCCATGACCTGCGTTGGTATTGACTGAGTACCGGGAATGTAAGTTAGTTTTTTTAGTTCTTCACAAGCAACTTCACACTGAAGCCGCATAATCATTATGTATTGCGATGGCTGATATAGCAGGGCTTGCTTGTGAAAAAGTTCGATCGGTTCTACGCAGTAGTTTTGGTTGGTATCCTTTCAAATATTCGAAGTGAAGAGCAGCATTCTCGTCAAATTTTACTTTTGCTATTGAAAGGATAAAAATACTGTTCACGTATGAACAAGATATCGGATGTGATTTGAGAAGAGGTATTGATAGAACGCCAGTGCCAAAACCGGTTTGCAAAAGTTTTATTCGACGGTTTTGATGTTGAAGGTGTACCATATTCCGGAAGGCCAGTTGAAGCCGATGAAAACACAATAAATTCATAAGTTGATATCAGCCGGCGCATACCAAGTCATGAGATCGCTGCTATATTAAGGTTATCGAGTTCTACCGTTCATGGTCAATTGAGATGCCTGGGCTTGATCTCTAAACTCGACATATGGGTTCTTCGTGTTGTTATGGAAAGAAATTTGCGCCGTCGCGTTGACGTATGTCATCTGCTTCTCAAACATCAAGAAGCGCATCACCAGCGGGGACAAGCAAATTGTTGTTTACAACAATGTTAAACGCAAGAGATCATGGAGAACATGATGGGCAGCATCAGGTTTCGGATTTGCCTGTCACCGTGGCCAGCCACAGGACTCCTGCGCCCACAAAGGGACCATGGATGACTTGTGCTGCACTACCCACAGATCCAACCACATACCCCATATCCAGTGTAAACCCGAAGGAATAAGACTGGGAGGCATGTGAATAGGAGCCACGTTTCATCAACCCAGCGGGCCCACACTCCTTCACAGGCAAACACAAGCGCAGTGTATTTGGGGAACCAAGTACTTACAAGGCGGTGGCTGGACCGTAGTCCGCTCACACTGAGTGCATCGAACCACTATTCGAGCCTAACACAGCCACAAGGACTGTGCCCCCAGTCCCCTCCAGCAACGACCAACTGTCTCCTGGAGTCAGTCTGGACGACGTAGTGGGTAACAGACAGGTAGGCACCTTGTCAACATGCACATCAAGCGCAGCCACACCGGGGATATCAAACAACGCCTAATCACTTGAAATGACATTATCAAATAAAATATATCAGTTAAAGCACACGACTATGTCGACATAACTCTTCAATAAATTAGCGTATAAGTTGGTTAGCAACGCACCGGCGATAAGTAAAAATTGACCACAAGCTATTCAAAAATGCTACAAGCGCAATAAAGTTAACGCCAACAACAATTGACGTAAACAACTTGTGCAAGTTAGAAGATTACTCAGGTAGGCAGAACAAACCAAATGAAGTGGAATGAAATGTATCCAGGTTAAAAAGACCTAGTTTAAGGGTATGTTGGTTTAACCCAACTGCCGTGAAGAAGCACATGAATGCAACATCAGCCTCAGCATGGGGCATGTAAAGCACATAGTAGTTACATAAATACCAGCTGTTTTCGGTTACATAAGAATTACACTTAACCAATACGCACACTTAGTCAAACGAAATCTCATCACTTCGATCACAAGCTGATCAGTTGGGGGCAAAGCTACTGCGAAAGGGCCTTCCCAATTAATTCAGTATTATGACCATAAATAATCATGTTTTGTTCTCCAGGCCGATTAAGTTTGTTGAACACTGTCTTGGTAACAATATATATTTCTACTTTTGGTGCACTATTAGAGAGTGGAAGTTGACGGTGCATTTTGCACTTTCATAACACGCATTTGTGTAACCATAGCGTTCATCTGGTTCATTTGAGCGCAGTTGAATTTACAAACAAATACTGACAGAACCAGTAATTCGACTTTCTTTGCACTGTATGATTCGTTTAGCTTCTTCGGACGAAAATTGGGAGAGAAATTTCAGCACTGATAATTTCTTTGGAGAAGGTTTTGCAAACGCAGTGTTCGAAGTCCACAACACGGATCACCTGTGGTGAAGACTGCGTCATAGAAAAATACTGAAATTTCAAACGCCATGGATATTAAGGTAAGAAGTACAGTTAGATCACTTCCTTTGACTTCAATAGTATCGGCTGGGATGAGCGGCAGGTTAGCGTAGAGCGAGAGACTTTTGATCGACTCGCCTTGGAGATGGATCCCGAGTTTGCCTCTCCTGATCAGAAATGTGGATTCATTTGTCCT